CCAGCCCGTGGCCCTGTCCCCGCGCCACTTGGTCTTCTTCTTCTTCTTCTGGCTTTTCTCTGGGATCTGCTGCCTGTTGTGGGAGACAGAGAGGAGAAGCAGCAGGTGAGACATAGGCACTCGCCAAGTTGAGGCAGATCCCCCCACAATATACACACAAAAATATGCATGTATACAAACACACACCTCCATACTTTGATGTATATATACACCATACATACACATTTATATGCCTAGACATATATACGTCTCCACATAACATACATACATATAAAGTGTTGACATTTGTATCTCCCTATTCTATGTATTTTCATACAGTCTTCCTCCACCATCCTCTTCCTCACCCTGCACAGCTACCAAGGCAACCACCTCCGTTCTCAAGGAAGGAGGGAGAAGCCGTAAGCAGCTATTAAGGCTAAAGGTGGGATGGATGGCAGGATGAGGGGGCACTTTGTACCCTGCCACTTGCTAAACCCACCTGGGATGCAGGGAAACACTGGGATGTCATTTATCACCCTGCTCTGAATGCTCATCAAGACAGTAGACTTTGACTTTATTGCAAGTTAAACCATACGAATGCAGGTAGCTTCCTTGGATTCAGCTAATGTCTAAATAACAAACTTGAAAATTTGAAAATGAGCCTCTTCTGCAATGAAATATGGCAGGCCCTGAACTGTTTTGAACAAGTTATTCAGATCAGAATAATACAGAGATAGGAAACAAATTATTATGGCTTTTCTTTGATGTTTTCTTGCAACAATACGAAAAGCTTAACTTTGATTCATAAGACTTATTTTTCAGCAAGTTTGAAGGCTTGAGGCATGGAAAACATGAATCTTAAAGGCTCAGAACTAGAAAGCAGAAATAAAAAGATATTTTAAGTTATTTTGCATAACCACCAAGCAGCAGCAAGCTGCTTACGGCATCCTAGAATGATTTCTGAGATCCAGAAAACCACGTCCTGCATGTGTTAAGACTTCTACTCTGACAGTGCTTACGAACACCGGTGCAGCGTAAAAGAGGGATCAGAAAACTCAGAGATTCGCTGGGTGGGCACAAACATCCCCCACCTTTTGGAGTACTTTCAGACAGTCTGAGCTCTTGCAAGAAACTAAAGGAACTGCGAACCGCCCAAGTGCACAGACACTGCCAACCCTGCATGAGAACCCTCACACTGCAAACCCACACGGGCCCTCAGGAGCCTCTGTAACAGTAAACACTCCCAAAAGGGCACACTTATTAGGGAGCTGTAGTTTACATTTCATTGGTTGAAGCTCACTTTAAGAAAAAGCACTGTTGTGTGGGTGATGGTATCCTCTAAACACAGAGGGTTTGCAGGGACCCAAAAATCAAGCGAATCTGCTTTGCGGCTGCCCTCTGCCTTCACCCACAGCCAACCTCTTATCGGTGTCTCTGGTGTCCTTGATGCCATGTAGGGTCTCATACACTAGTAAAAGTTTTTGTGATAACTGTGAAAGAGACTAAGATAGATCATCTGCATCTGAAGTTATGGGGTGCCTTTTCAAGACACAAACTTAATGAATATATAGTATTAAGATGCTCCCTCTAGTCTGTGTCTCTCTGTAGTGACATTATGTAGAAAAAGGAAAAAGCAAAGCCTTTTTTTTTTTTTTTTAAACTCCTCCTCCAGAACAGCTCGTGGTAATAGCTTGCTGTAACACAAAAAGCAGCATCTAGCCAACTAAAATGGAGTTACAGAACAGTTGGGAAATAGCTTGGGCCGCTTCCAAGCCTGCTCCATAGTTCTCTGTGGATTTTCTGCCCCCTGCTTCTGAGATATGCGGGAAGAGTGGGCAGTACCATCTGCTTTCGATGGAGGCCGGCTGGAGGCTGTGCTAAGATCATTGCTCGTACACAAATGCTGTCAATAAATGTCTCCTGGTGGAAGGCTGAGCAAGCCCCTTTGGCTGCGCGAGGGACGAGGAGCAGCGGGATTTTAAGTCACGTCCTCCAGCTGCGCCTCCCCCAACACACCAAAACTGCAGGGCCATAAAGGTCTGGCCAGCAGCCGGCATCACAAGAACGGCTCTTCCCGGGGGCAAGGGGGCTATGGGGGAGATGCGGGGGCAGCAGCGAGGGAAGGGGACGCAGGGATGTGCCGCGCCGGGGAGCAGAGCGAGCTGCCAACGCGGCCCAGGGCAGCGCCAAGCTGCGAGGAGGAAACCTGCGGCTTAGCCCTTGGATCATGCACAACAGCTTCATTTTTTCCATTTAGTGGGCAGAAAATGTTAAACATAACCTACAAGATTAGAAAATAGCCAGTCCTTTTAACCTCTGGCAATGCACGATCCCAAGACTGCAGAACTACGAAAACCCAAATTACTTGAGCTGAGCTTTCAACGCAGATTGCTAGAATAGGTTTTCTACTGCTTGTTGGCCAATACATTTTTGTCCTGGCCACAGACAGTTCTCAAACTGCATCTTGCAAAGGTAACTGTCAGTAACATCTGTCTGCAGATACAGAACCAGAATGTTTAATAAAATCCAGAAATCTCCTCCCATGACCCAGCAACCTCTCTCCTGCTGCCCCAAAGGTTGGCATCTGGCTCTCCGCACTAGGACTCCTGGCTCATCCATGGGCACTAACAAAGGGTTTCCAGCTTACCTGATCACTCTAACGAGATCGTGGAAGGCCTTGTCAACATTTAGAGGGGGATCCTTGGCACTAGTTTCTATATAAGGAATCTGAAGGAAAGAAGATATAACAAAAGGTATCAGTAACAGCTCACATGTTTATAATCAAACTAATCTCAAAATGAAAAAGCCAAAAGGCTGGAGAAATTGGATGCAGGAACCCAGATACATAAAGTGCTGTCCTGGTACCACTATCAACAGCTTCACACTCAGAAAGGTCAGCAAGTGCTTACAGAAGATGCGGAAAAAGCGACAAACAGCTACTATGAGAAAGGTGCAGGTTTGGGGAAGAATGATCATAGATCTCATTCAGTCAGATGTTCTTTTCCACCGTGGGTTGCTTGCAGACATGAAAATAGCTGAAGGTTGCTGCAAGACTAGCACTTGCCAAAAATTCTTGCTTGCCACATTTTATTAGGACTACTGCATGCATATTTCATGACTACAATTCCCCTTTAGTGTAAAATGATCTTCTCCTTCAAAGCCTGAAAGCCAGATGGGGCCTTCTACAGTGCTCGCCCAACGTGCCTGGCAGATTTATAAAACTGCCAAGTTATATATTCATGCGTGGCCTTTTCCATAGCGCCTGCCTAAGCATGGATACCACATGTTACATGGCTGGTTAGGTGGACTGGCTCTTGCAAAAATCATCTTCCTCAAGGAGGTGAGGGCCAAGTGTGATTGAGCGGCCGAGCTCCCATTGGAAACACGGCGCAGGTCGCCAGTGAGGTGCAGAAAGCTGCCAGGAGATCCCCGGCCTGCTTGCCTTGGCCTTTCCATCAAATTCCTTCTACTGGAGTCGCTGCCTTCCTCAGGGCATCCAGGAGTAGTGACGCTTAGCAGTGATTAGTGAAGTACCACATCATCTACACTGATCCAAGACCATCGTCTTGGGCTCAACTACAGAATGGAGAGCTAACAGAGGGCCATATTTTCATAGCCTTTACATCCCTGTTAGCTTCCTCATCTTTAACACATTGACTTCACACGGATAGAGCTGGGCACACGGCCTAGCTGCTACCCCTGCCTTTCCACCCCCCAGTTCTGGGGGCTTGCACTTCACGCCACCGGTGCACGTGACTTCGTGATGGTCACAGCCCTGCTCCAGGCTGGCACGCAGCACAGCTTCCAGTTTCACTGATGAACTGGTCCCACCGAAAGGAAATTGTGCAGCGCCCGCTTCATAGCATTTGCGACGGTAATTGCAATGTGCGATCGTAAGGGAAACGCTTCAATTCAGCTCCAAATGAGCAGCAAATTCAATTTCCAATGCTTCAAACGCGACTTATACCAACCAATTATACAATCCCACAAACTTACATTATGTTTTGTTGCCATTTCTCTTCCCTGCTCTCTGGTGATTTTTCGTAAATGCATTAAGTCAACTTTGTTCGCCACCAAAATCATTGGGAAGGACTCTCTGGAAAAACAATAACCGTTATTAGCGGACTACGAGAAAACAAATCCTTAGTGGCAGTTTCTCTTTCTAATGCTGCCATCATTTAACATTTCCAGCTTCAGAGATACCACATATATATACAAAAACATAGAGAAAGATCAAGCAATCACACAGCAACCCTAAAACTACAGGTGTATAGGTATATGTGTCACCTGCCTGAGAAATTTACCTTGCCAGCCTGTGTGCATGCACACATTTTTTTTTTTTTTTGGCAAGTGTTCAGGGGCTTCTTAGAGATTTTTTTTCCAAAGTACAAAAAAAACCAACTTCTAGCTGAATGAAAAACTATGGAATTAGGCTGTACCTGTAAACTGGAATTAGGCACAGAAGCAGATTTTGAGCAGGAAAACTGGACTCTGTACAGAGTTGAGTTTTTTTGCTAACCAAGTATCTCAGCAGCTGCCAGTCACTGTGAGGATAAAAGGTATCTTGGAAAGTCTCTTTGAGGTGGCCCTTAGAAAAGCTCTGCAAAAGTAAAAAAACCACATCGGGCCCCTACTGCCATAGTAGAGAACTAAAAATAGACTCTTGGAGGTGGCACTTTGGAGGGATGCCAAGAAGGGACAGAAAGAGACAGCATTTCCATCAGTTGTTCCCCCAGCACAAACTGAAGCCCTGGTGGTGGTAGCTGCAAGGTGGCCAGAGGGAACTGCAGCATCTTGCAGATTTCCCACACACTGTTACCTGCTGTCTTCTAACAACAGAGCAAAACCCTAATGACCAGCTGCCTTTTTGTGCCAAAAACATCTAGTTCTAATATTGCTCAATATTTCTTCAACTTTATCAGGCGTGTAAGCAACTGCCTTCAGCCAGTGCCTGAAAAGAGACCAGTCACCGCACATCATATTGAAGGCTTTTCTGATGAGATGTGAGCCAGGCCCTCGGCTGATACAAATCTCCTTTACTAACTGCTGGCAGCGATGTGGTCTCTCATAATAATTGTCAGTAACTGCAATTTATGTTTAAATCCCCCTAGAATGATTCCAGTGTCCTCTGCTTTAACAGAACTTATTTCATGGGTGTAAGGACCAGCTGACCATGCTCATGTCCACATAAAACACTTTGCGGAGTAACTTCCAATTTTCAGAGCGTTTCTGTGTAATTTTTCATGGAAACAGACAGGGGCTCCATCTTCTCTCTGGCATGTTGCCCCAGTGCTCGGTATTGCAGAAATACCCTGCATTTGCACTCTGCATTTGAACGAGCCTTACCATTATTTGTTCTGATCATCTGGATTTAATTTTAAAACCAGAGCATTGATGCATCTTGACTCTAATTATTCTGGAGCAAAATGCTTGTCTGAATTGCTCGATTTCTTTGCCTTGCACACTTTGGTAGGGGAAGAACTGCCTTTGGGCAGCTTGCTTGCACGCGAGGTTGCCCAAGCCGGTTTGGAAACGCGGCTGCACCCCGCGCACAGCCCAGCGCGAGTCTGCGAGCGCTTCTCGAGGCACCACGTTACCCTTGCTACGACCTGCCAGGCACCTCGGGTTTTAGACGAGGTGTTACAGCCCTCGGCAAGCGCCTCGGCTGTGTCGAGCTGGAAACAAAAACCATTTCACCAGCCTGTTTCACTTCCTGCTTCTCACACATTAGCTGTTATGTTTTTATGGGTACAGCAAGGGGCAAAAGCTCCAGTCCGAGACAAAACAATGAAGAGCACTTCGTATTTCCATGAAGTTAGATGAGAGCAACATCTGCTTGCAGCCAGGCAACACGGTCTTGTTGTCCTTAGCTTGCAAAGGCAGATTTAGCCCTGGCCCAAGCAAAGCTGCTAGTGAAGGGAGCACTGTCCTTATCGAGGAGGCTGCCTGAGTGACTGACGTTTTTGTTCATTTAGATGAAATCAAAGGGCGGGTTTTCCTTTGCTCTTCACCCTTGTGGGCTCTGCTGTGGATGCTTTACTGGAAGAGCTGTCAGCTGTGACCCTCACATGATATGCGTCCACCCTTCCTGTGGGGAAGTTATTCAGAACTGTGAAAGGAAGCCAGCAACAAGGCCCAAACCCTCTGGTGGCTTCGCTTGATGACTTCCATAATTAAAAGCCATTATGAATGGAAAAAAATAAGTGTTTTAAAGCTGCAGACATCTAAGGGCTTAATTCACACTCCACCCAGGGAGACAAGATTCATCTCCTGAACTAGCACAGGAAAAGGAACTTATCTGGTTGATAGCCCCTGAGTTTCCTTTCCAGCCTGCCAGGATGCATTTGCTTACCACGAGTTAACTTCCAGCATGACCTTCTCCAGTGTGTTAACAAGAGGAGGGGCAAGGTACATGTCTCCAATCACACCGAAATATTCCAGCTTGTTAATTCATTGAAAATGGGTGCTAAAGAGCTCAATGAGTTAACTGAACTATATCCCCAACTGAGAAATAAAATTTCTCCTCTGCTGACCTTTGACTGACATGAGGTGTTTTCCCCTTGAAGACAGCCCCCTATCATGTAAGGCTTTTTATGGTTTGTCTGGCATATACCGAAGCCAGGGAAACAGAAAGTGTTGCCAGGACATACAAAAAGATCAGGCCTGAATAAATACTTGCTGACTCTCTGCTGGAGTGTCCTAAGTGCCTGTGTGGTGACCAGAGCATCACTCTTCCTCACTGAGAGCCAAGCTGGTCACCTTCAAAGGACCGTTATCTGACTTTTCTCATGCTACTGTTAGCAACACTCTGGCTGGAGTTTTTCCCTTCCAATACCATTTTCACTTTGAAATAAGGCTGTACTGAACTTCTTCACATAGAAAGTGCTTATCAGAGAAGGTAAAATATTTCTTATTCCCCCTACATAGACCTGGAAACGAGGGCACAGAGCATGCAAGGGTTTGTCCCAAGACAGCCAGCAGGCTGAAGGCAGAGCAAGACATGCAACCTCCCCACCACGTTGCCCCCAAAGGTGCAGAGGAATGGTGGCAGAGGAACCAAACCTGTCCATGACACCTACCTGTCTTTGACTCTCAGGATCAGCTGGTGGAATCGGTCCACATGCTCAAAGCTGGCCTTGTCTGTGACAGAGTAGACTATGAGGAAGCCATCTCCTGTCCTCATGTACTGCTCCCGCATTGCGCTGAACTCCTCTTGGCCTGCAGTATCCAGAACTAGAACAGATCAAAGTTCTTGGTCACAACAAGAAACTGTGACTGCTGTGGCTACTCTGCATCCTACATTGCATTCCTACCCCTACTGGCCTTGGCACTACTGAAGGGGGCAAGATTTGAGGAAACCAAATTAGATAGATTTCTCACTACAAAGTGAAAAGTGCCCCCAGATCCCCACACATCACTGTGGTATCTTGGCTAACAAATGACAGAGGAGATGAGGACTATGTGGATTTTACTTTCCTTCCAAGCATCAAACTCTGATCATTGAGCTTAGGGAATGGAGTGTTCCTCTAGCAACTATGGCTCAAAATATCTTGTAGCCCTTGGTCTTGTCCAGCCTTAGAGAATCCCTGTATGGGGAAAAAAAAAAAAAAAAAGAAAAAAAAAACAGTCTTGGAAGAGTAAGTAAATGCCAGTTCAAATGCCAGGGACCATGTAAAAACTGTGTTGTGTCAGATTGCTGGGAGATGCACGTACATATCATACTCCAGGTTATTTTCCTGGATATTATTTCCACACAATGCTGTGCTTTCAGAGCAAGGTGGTAGACTCTGGGGGTCCTAAATACTTAGCCCCAAGTTGTATGTTGCTATTCAGAAGCTAGTTAGAAGGTAAAGCTTTAAGTGACTTCATCCTATACAGCAGACGTAACTTCACATAGGGTTGTGTTACAAGGCAGCCAGTGAGGATTCCCTAAACACTCCCATTTGGGTCAGCAACCTAGATGGACTAGACAAAAAAAAAGACGCTGCTTTTGCCTGGTAGATCAAGCTCCTCCCTAATGTGACCCTAAGTCACTGCTTTTCCATTACTCTGCCTAGCAGGGGTCTCACCAGCTCCAGCATGGGCACATCCAGCAGAAGCTCAATATCCTTCTGGATAAATCCTGAGTACAGGTGCACATTGCTGGTGCCAGCTCTGGGGCCTCAGCTTGGTGCAGCTCCAGGACCTTGGCTGGCAGGAGACGGGTACAAACAACTACGGGATTTATCAGTTTGGGCTATGCCAATACAAACAAGGCAGGAACTCAAAGGGAATGGGCTGCTCTGAGGTAAATGGATGCATATGGATGCAAACGCAGGATCTTCTGGAAGACTAGAAACAGTTGCACTTCCCACGTGGCTGGGAAGGATGGGAAAACTGTTTCCATCTCTGCTGTAACAGCCACATTGTAGCATACGCTGCCCACAAGTGACAGGGAAAGCCCAGGGCAGTGGTGGGTAGGGACCGTGTGGCAGGCGAGTGCTGCTGACCAAGCAGCAGAGGTTCACGCAGGTTTTTCTAGTCTGAGCAGGTCCCCATAATTAGCCAGATGCTCCCTGTAGGGACAGGTCCTTGGGCTGCCTTGGTTTCCAGATGAGGCCAGGATAAAGCCCACTCTCCTGCGGGTGCTACTTGCCGGATCAGCGCAGGCGGCTGTGGCCTTGCTGACGTGCCAGATGTGCCACGCACAGCAGCGAGCCCCACGCGCAGCCCACGGGCCAGGACTGCGCCCGCAGGGGAGGCAGCTACGCTGGAAGACTTGAGACCTTTAACGTTTGTCTCCCACGGCTGTTCTGTTGCAAGTGGCTGTTTCCAGAACCCGCTGCAATGAGAGAAGCTTCTAGACTCCTGCAAAGACCCCAAGCTTTGGGCTTGCCTGTTGAGTAGCTGAATCTGCTGGAAAGTCACGGTTGTCATTTTGTCGCCTTTTATGCTGCTCTACATGTCTAAACCTCAGAAACAGAGCTCTTAGCTCAAGGGTGTACAGGCTACTCTCGACTATACACAAAAAGGAGGGAAAAAAGGGGAAAAAAAAAACAACAAAAAAGGAGAAAAACAAACCAAACACATCGCTTGCATTGGTAATTTTCTATGCCCTGAGCAGAAGAGCTAGCACAGGATAAGGCCAAGACCATGGCTAGGATGGAAGGGGAAATTAATCCTTCCTGTTCACCCAGCACGTCAAGAGATGCTGGGCTGCCCTCACCTGACTCTTGGCCCAGCTCAGCGCGACGCCAGGGCCGGACACGTCTCCGAGCCGGCCCCAGCACACGCTCCTGTCCCTCTCCAACGCACACACACAACCTCCGGTGCTGCTCCTGGTGTCTCCTGCACTGCTGGGGGAATCTGTCTGCCTCTTCATGAAGAATGTGAAGGGTCCCCAGTTCTTACGTTTCCATTGCACCCACAGACCCAATCTCAGCTCCACGAGATTGGGAGGGAAGGCTCGGCCGACCGCAGGGTCTGGTCACTGTGGCCTGAAGTTAGGCGGGTCCTGGGGCCACGCGGACACCAGACCGAGCGCGCAGCAACGTGCTCCTGCCTCGCCTGGACGTTTGCCACCACACTGCGCTAAATACAGGCAGAGCTGCTGCGTCAGCAGCCACTATTTAAAGGGAATTCACTTATAGCATTCATAGAAAGGCAAGCAAGCCCGGGCAGCACTCAGCAATGGCACTTTGGAAACAAAAAGACAGGCAGCAGTGAAGGTTAAAGTTAATATTGGATGAGCTGTTCCTGCAAAGCTAAGGATCACGTGGTTGGCCAAAAAAAGTCCTTGCTTTAACTTTCAAGCAACTTTTAAGTTCAGCAAGCTTTCAAGCAAGCTCTTCTAAGGATGAAGAAACACAATCCTAACAATTCTCTGCTACTCAAACTGTGAAAAAGTTCAACGAGAGGAGACAGTGATCTGAATCCTTTGTGCACTGAATGGAACCATATCCTAGAAAGCACCAGCTCTGAAAAAGGGCTAAATGTAAGCAGCTCTACTTAAACTTCCAGTGCAGTCTTGTGGCGTAAAAGCTTACACAAGATTCTTGCATATGGCACTGGGAAAGAAGCAAGCAGAAAGGGATAGGCCATTTGATTGCCTTTCCAAAGGGGTTGGAAGATTCGGGATTCACCTTCTTTCAAAAGCCCAGCTTCTACAAACTGTATGCCAGGAGACACAGAAAAATCACGAGGAGAGAAAAATTGCAAGCACTCTCTTCCGCGATATTCTTTAAATAAGCAGTTGCCTCTTACTGGCAACACATAAAAGCCAATGTGGAAATAAGCCTGGAACAAAGCACAGCAGGTTTCCCCTACCTCATTCTTCCAAGAACTGAAATCAAATTCATAGACTGTGTAATACACAGAAAAGGACTTCCAAGAGCAAACTTGGTTAAGTTCCCACAAACTTGACGAAAGAGGAAGTAAGGAAGCACATGAAAGAAAATGCTTGGGTGAACAGCGTGGGTAGAGAAGCTAAGGACGATGTTGGAAGCAGCGACAGTCATTCAAAGAAGCCAGTGGAACCATCACTTTTCAGAGCTATCATGCAATCAGTTGGAGAACAAACTGTCAGCAATTAGGCCAAGGTAATTGCCCAGGCCCAGCGTTGAGGTCTCTGGCTTCATGGGTAAGAGGCTGCTGAGCAACAAGAGAGCTTCCTTCTTCACTTCTCCGTGAATGTGACCACAGCTGCTGTGATGAACTCTGCACTAATTGAATGCTGCCCCATTAGAGCTTTACACCCCATTTTCTCCTGTGAATCCTGATGGATTAGGCAAGAGCCAGGCTTAGAGAAAGCAATTCCAAGAAGGCACATCAGCCAGGGAATTGCTGCAGACCGAAACAGAAGCACTTTGTGCTTGCAGATATAAACGTTTTTACTGACTCTATAACTGAGTGTCCATCCAGGAAACACAGGCATGTCAACTTAGGATGAGGGCAGAGACATATTCACTAAAAAGGGCAGTATTTTTTCTAGATAGTAGGTTGGATACACAAGCTCAGACCTTCCCAACTTAATGAAGTTCAGATCTGGCTGTTCCTCTCAGCCAGAGAGGAAGCTCAGTTCCTCCTCTTTTTCATATGTAGACAAAATCCCTCCTATACACCTAACTTTACACTGCTAGGCAGTTACATACATAGATCAATTCAAGAGAATGTTTCCACTGCCTGTGCATCTGAGGAGCCAAAGATGCCCAGAAAAATACCCTAGACTAAACACATTTATTTCCATGGTTCAGCCTTTGGGCTTAACTGCCCATATCGGCAGCCAGTGGCTTTCTAAGAATCTTGCACATTACTGAAACCAGTCATGAAAGCTTCTCGGAGAGCCTTGCCTTTCAGCACCCAGAAACACAGCTGTGTCCCACAGAAAGTCAGGGCCAGGGAGCAACTGTTCGTGCCCACACTGATCTCATGCTCAGAAAAAAAAATAGAATAATGGGTAAAACTTGATTTATGCAGGTTTTCTAGGGAAATCTCTTTGGCTATATGTTCAAGCACATGTGCAAGCTTTTAAGGGACTGGATGTGTCCTCACACAGATAGGAGTCTGGGGTTTGCACACAGAGGAGCTGGACTCCATGCACTTTCTGCTTCCTCACTAAGCCAAGCTCCTCTTGGCTTTTTCTGTGTCAAAAATCTTGCTCTTCACTCTGCACAGCAGCTCTGCTTCAAAAGGTGGGGTTGGAATGCAACTCTCTTCCTAGCTATCCTGCAGCTTGGTCGTTAAAGTGAAAACTTGGCATGAACCAACAAGCTCATGCAAAAAACACTTCCAAGCTGAGGAAGGCCGTGACCACAGTCTTCCTCCTCCTGGACCTGTGCCCTGATGAGGAGCTCTGTGGGAGGGCAGCCTTGTGCTTCAGCTGAGAAATTGGTATTTTAAGGGCTGACTGGATGGGGCTCCTAGTTATAGTCTGTACTCCCAAACACTGAATCACCCCCAGGGCAAATTGGAGGTCCCCACATCACAACCACAGAGCAGCAAAGCTCGTGGTCGCTCTGGCACTGCTGGCTCCTTCACTGATACGGCCACATTGCCCTTGGCACGTGAGCCTTCTTCAGGGAAAAACATGAGCTGGGGAAACACTAGGGCTTCTGTGAGCCCTTGTTCTGCGCCCTAACTAAATACACAGATTTTATAACATGGAAAGCCCAAGTACTTGAATTCTTGCCCTTTCTTTAAGGAAAAAGAGGGGCCTTCAGAAGAGAGAGACTTCCACATCAATAAGCAGAATAAAGATGCGAGTTCTTAAAGGAGTTTTTCCCCCCCTCTAACAAAGGGCAAGTATTCAAAGCCTTGTGTTTTCCATGTTGCAACATCCAAATTTTCCTGGCAGGAAAAAAATCCCTATAACCCAAAACAAAAAAATCCTCTTTCAAGGTTGCAAAATCCAAATAATTAAGAGAGGGAAAATACTGTAAGCACAAACAAGAGAAGAAAAGTATAAAGTTAATTTGCATTTTACTTCATTCAATGATGCCACACAAAATTCAAAGCAAAAAAAGAAAACAAGCCAAACCAACCATCTGCCTGCAAGGCTGAAGTGACCTTTGATCTTCCTCTGGCCTCCTGGTTTAATTGTTCCCAAGCTTCATGAAGAGAAAAATAAAAAGACAGTCTGTCCTGAGATGACTAGCAGCAGAAACCCTCTGCAGAAAGAGGTGCCTGAAAGACTTCACAGAAAGGATAAGGAACGAGGGGAAAGATTAGCACTTGTCATTAGAAATGAGAATGATGCAAGAAGTCTCTGTGACTAGATCACAGAGGAAAGGTAAATACATAGATCAACCTGAGCTGGTTTTCAGAGAACTGACCATTTTTACTGCTTTAATTTTAAACTGTTAGCATCAGGACTACAATTTATGGATGAGAAAGAGGAGATGTTGCATCTAACTCATACTGAAGGGACTGAAAGCGGAGATCACAGCCCCCTTCCATCCAATCCATAGGCACAATTGCTTACTTCTCCCAGCAGAATTCTGCCCTTCAGACTTTGCTGGAAATTTTACAGTTAGACCCAGACCGGGATCAAATGGCACAGCTCCCCTTACAGCTGAGTGATCAGCCCCAAGAGCACAGCGAGGTATAAGCTCAGCCTCACCAGGTCGAGCTCAAATCATTGAAAAGCCCAAGATGTGTTAGCGACCCTTTCATAGTCTTTTTCCTTCCTCTTCCTCACCGCCTGGTTATCTGTGGCTTATGAACTGTAAGGAATTCTGAACCATTCAGAGGTTGTTGCCATATGACTGTATTCCATTTCAGCGTCATGCCTTAGTTTCAGACTGGCACTTTGCAGCCACGTAAGAACAAATTCTCTGCTAATTGCCAAGCTAGCCCGCACATGGAAAGGAGTGTGCAAAATTTATGATAGCAACTCAACTGGAGCAACAGCTAATCAAAGCAGATTAACCCTGGCACCCACTTAATTCTGACCTGATGCATCTATCCAGCACCTGCGTGCTACTGCATTTAACCAAGCACATCACCATGCTAATTTCAGGAAGAACAGCAGGAAGTCTGGGACGATAACACACACAGAGAAAATTGGAGGCTGATCTTAAAGCCTTGCTGGGGAGGCAGCATCATAGAAACTGAGGGCTGGCCACAAATTGCCTGAGCATCCCTCCCTCGAGTAAAGTGACACTTGTCCTCTGAACACTGCAATGACAGTCTTAGACCACGAAAGAAGCATTTTTTTCACGCAGGACACTGTATAGGTTTGGACCTGAGCAAATGAAGCATTAAAATCTCACTATTTTGAGAGGCATCAGGGAACTATCATAGACTTTTTTGATAAGAATATGAAAAGACACAGAGACCTTCCCATGCCAGAAAGCAAACACATGACAGAGGAGTTTGGGTTTGCCTTCAAGGTCTAAAAACTGAAATTAAAATTTATTCCATTTAAATCTGCTTTTGGTAAGAGATTTCAGCAAAGGATGAAAATGCAAGTCAAATGTTTCATCTTGCTGCCAGTTAGTTCTCTTGAATGAGGATGGGTGGAGGTCTGTATGGAGAGAAGCCAGATGCTCTATGTGAGCTGGCTACCACAAAGGGTTTTTTTTTTTTTTTTTTTTTTTTTTTTTTTTACAACATAATGCTAGGATGCTATTACATGCTATTACAGATACTAAATGCTAGAGTTGCTCAACCAACAGCCTGAAAGAGGGGGAACTGTGTTTTATTTTTCTTCATTAAGTTATTGGATGTTGGTGCCTTTTTTTTTTTTTATTATTATTATTACTTTCTGTAAACTTAGAAGTCTATGAAGCCTCTCCCTTGAGGCTTCAATTTGTAATCTCATCTTCCAAAATTAGTTCCTATTTTGGGCGCACGCAGGGTGAGGCAAACAGTTTTCTGTTATTCCCCTTTCCTCTCCCCAACAACCACTAGAAGAAACACGTCTGTAAAGGATTTGACAATAAAGGACAACTGGACAGTCTAGTATTTATTGTGCTGCATCTTTATGCTTCCCATCATGTGTCTCCCTAATTTTATATCATAAATGACTCATGCAACCAGGTGTAGCCATGACAAGAGCAGCTGCTGGAGTATATGCTGACCTCTGAGAACAGGATGAACTCCAAAACCATGAGATCCAAAACCCCTGACAGAACTGCAGCACGAGACACATGTGATCGTCAGTCTTTACGCCCTGCTTCTCCGGGCAGATGGTAAAAGATCACATGCTGTCCCAAACAAAAACATTCTCTTCCCTTGACCTAACGACCGAACCGCGATTGTTCAAAATCCCAGGCTGGAGGAAAGAGCAGCAGAAACTGCAGTTCTGCTTCTATGGCTGCAAGACATCTGTGGGCAGAGGCACTCTGAAGTTCGGAGAGATTCCCAACGTGCCATTCACGGCCACAGCTGAATTCAATTCAGCCTCAGCAGAGCGGGTAAAACCCATCTGAGCAAAAGAAAGGCTTTTTCATCAAAACAAACAGTTAAATTTCTGCTCCTTGGAAGAAAGCCTCTTTCTCCACTCCCACCTCAGGTCACTTCCCCACCCCCTTGAATAAACAAGAATTCCAAATATTCAGTTAAAGATGCAGGGCTTTTTCTTCCAAATACACGCTTTTGACCAACACCAACAGCAGCTGCTAATGTTATATCCGCTCTGGTCACGCTGGTTCTTGCAGCACAAACTAGTAAGTTGCAGTTTTAAGGAATATAGCGTTTTACCCCCACCTGCATAATCGAATAATACATATATATTTGAATGTTGGCGGTAAGAGGTGTTACAATTCTTCACTATCAGTGGCTAATATCTTTGATTAAATGTTCTTTCTGGTTATAACCCCCATTCAATTATCTATTTGCCCTTATTTCCCAGGGGATAAGTGGAAAAACAATGAAGCACCGTAAGCAGCAGCCACCTCACTATAGCAGATACCTCCCCCAAATGCTGGTGCATGGACCTAGTCTGCACGTCTCAGTTTGAAAAGCTGTGGGGTGGTTGTTTCCTTGTGAGGTTTAACTTACTACATCAAGTCCTCACACAAACAGCAGATCAGAAACTGTTTCTAACAAGAACAGATTGGTTTTCATCAGACTAGTGCAGTGAACTGAGCCCAGGAGCAAATGCAGGTTTAAAGAAATATTATATTTTTCCTCCTACTGCTGTTTTAGCATAGGGCAGCCTCCCTGAAGGTTCTGCAGGTGAATTGTTTGAGGTGGCCAGGGCAGCACACAGCCTGCATAGCACTACCCAACCCTTTTTGTTACCTGTAGAAGGCTGAAAGAGGCACCTCTCCATTATTCCAAGGACTGACAACCCATCACAAACTAAACACCACACTGGATGACTCCCACAAGAAGCAACACTGTGCAGAACTGGAACCATCACACACAGAAACTCTACTGGAGACAATCTACAACTCAACCCCAGAAGTTCATGGGACCATCTGCACTAAAATTCCCCAGAGCCCACCATGGACCAGAAGGCCCACAGGGGCACAACGTGCTGTAGGAGGCCCTCAGGCCTATCTGTTCCTGCATGCAGTTAGGAGGGAAGGAGAGGGACTTGCTCACCATCAAGAATTGCCCATTGCCCATCTATTTCGGTGTGTTTCAGGTAGGAATCTTCAATAGTCGGGTCATAATCTGGCACAAAAATCTTCTGAAAAAACTGAATGGTGAGAGCGCTCTTCCCCACACCGCCATCTCCGACCACCACTAGCTTGTAGGTGGGGAGGTTCTCGCTGGGAACGGCACTTGTAGCCATCCTGGGACGTCACACCTGCTGGAGAAAGAAAGCGTCTCAGTTCATCGGCAACTGGCACAAAACAGTCTTTTCCCCCGGGACCCAGGAGTGGGAATGAAGAGAGCACACCAAAGCAGCGCACCGGCGTTTGGCCTCTCTGCTCTGCACTCTGACACTCACAGTCCTCTTGGGCAAGACGGGCAGCATCTACACTCCCAACCACCCCTACCATCACCCAGATGGATTACTTCTAAGAAGTGCAGATGGCCTCGCTGTTGTGGCTTGTTTACGCCTGTCCCCATCTACAGGGATTACTAATTGCTGCCAAATGTGTGTGTGGAAGTTTTAGCATCTTAATACCTCTCCTACAGGGACTGAGCCCACACGGCCATGCCAGAAATCACCCTGGGTCAATGCAGCTGTCAAGCTGCAAATAATTTCCAGTTGCCAGTGCCCGAATCCCATTGAGAAGCTGGAAGCAAGCTATTCCTCACTGCTTAGCACAGCACACACTAAATAGAGCGTTACATTCTGGGGCCGGGCTGCTGGGTGCCAGGTTTGCATGCAGAACGGGCTATGATAAATGGAAGCTGGAGCTAAGGGTCCAGCCCAGGCTCTGCTGACAGACAAAAATGCACTTAGCTTCTTTCTTCTTTCTCATTTTTAAGTTTGAGAAACAAAACCAAGAAGCACGCAGGGCTGGCAGCAGGCCAAGAACTACAGGTGTTTTTTATTTTGCCTTTATTTTTCTTAAATATATTTTTTCTACGCTACGCTGGCACCGGGGGAGTCAGGAGCCCAGCTTCCCCTGCAGCACGGTCACAGATTCCCTGCTCTCCGGGGCGAGCCGCAGAGGAACCAATTCTTTAACAAAAGAAGAAAGTTGCCCGGGGTGCAACGAGGCGCTCGGCCGCGTGCAGCGACCACGGCCCTGCGCTGGGAAAGCGGAAGAGGCTCCGCAGGCCGAGCGGGCCCGTGCAGCGGTCACTAACAGTTCTCGCTGTCTTTCCATCTCCTTTCTTCAGGCAAACCTTGCAGTGCGGGACGATACTCCTGCAAGCAGCAGCCTGGCCACCAGTGGCTGCCACGAGCCACTCGGGATTTGCTGGTGGCCACTCTTTGCTTGGCCTGGCAAAGTCTCGCTGGGGATAAAACGGATGGTGGCAGCAAGCACTGGGCTGCTCTGCTCTGGGTGCTCCCAGGAGGGAGGATGTCTCAGGACATGAACAGCCAGGGTTTTCCTGCTAACTGCAGGCATTTTTCTTCATTAAAGACAACTTTTTCAGCCTCCAAGGTCATCAAAAAAAGCCCATGTGAGATGGGGCAGGCTGGCCCAGGAGCCGAGGTGGCAGGACTGATGTGTGCCCGCCACTGGCTAAGCCAATTTCATTTAAGCCTATAGTAGAGCAAAACCACTTTCCCAGAAATGGCTTCATTTTGCTACTGCACAAAGAAAACATTTAACTCTTCCTTTCCAAAAAGGCACAAAAGCCACAGTGACCTGTTTTTTAAAAGGTGCATAACCTCCCCTAATTGTTTGATTGCAAAAGAGGAAAATGATGCCAAAACCAGAAAAAAATAAATAAATAAATAAATGAGGGAATCTCCTCTCCTCCTTGCTCCCTAGCACCATTTTATGTATGATAACAAGTTGCAGCTTGTGCCTGAGGGACTTTTGCAAATACAGGAATAACTTGCAGAATGCATAATCCAGATGTTGCACAGGCTGAATGCCTTGACCTCTAATTATGATCATTTACTGGACATTTCTCCGTGAACTCAAAGAACTCTGTTTTTCCTGTAAACAGAAAGCCCTGGAAGAGCGAGAGAGAAGGTTATCACACA